CCAATTAACCTAGTTTAAAATGGGCTTTGGGCCCATTAAGCTTTCAGGCACACTTCCTTTTAATGTTAGCTAGCTTGGCTCTTTTTGTATGGCGTAAGACCCTAACATTGATCTACACATCAGCAACATGGGTTCAACATAGCCTCTGTTACAAGGCCTGGCCGAATTCACTGCTGAATACAATAAACCCCTAAGTCCATCACTATGGGCTCTTAATGGGCCCAACATTCACACTAAATGGTCCTTCGCTCCAGCCATCTTATGAAGGCCTAAGGACTATGGGTAGATGCAATATTAGCCCATCAAGTATAACCCTCAATGGTCTTACACTTAACCTCTCATCCCATAATGATCAAACACTACCCGACAAGAGAGGACCTCTCCCTCGGCTGCATGGTACAATACTACACTCTCTACTCACATGGATCTTGGGAATTAAAACCTTTTGCAAACAATTTGTGAGACCATAATATATAAGTATGTCTCTATATAAATATATTTTGCAAAACCAAATTTCAAACACATTTGAATTTCACTGTTAGCAGTTTAGGTTTTTATCAGAGAGAGTGCATTTTCCCAATCATTCACTTTGTTTGACAAAGGGGCTGATCCTGTCACTATGATCACCCACTCAGATGAATTCTCGAACTATCCCAACATACCCAGGTTTTGACCCCGTCTAAGAATCTCACTGATTGGCACATCAAAGACAGCCAAATCCGACACCTAGTGCAGTATCATAATCGAGTCTAGGGGTCAGGTGTAACATTCCAGTTTTGCTCATCTATCTCCAAGGTCCAAGGTAATACTGGAATTTTGGTTCGGTTCAAGGTTTCAAGAAAATCTACACTGCATGTACCTCAGGTCTCACCAGGGCAATACAGGAATTTTGGAACCCGGTTCAATACGTATATCATAGTTTCTAATGCGTATCCCCAAAAGGATGTAGGTAATTCTGAGTGTACGAGAAGTGATCAAACCATATCCAATAAAGTCCGATTTCTCCTCTCTAACACACCGTTTAACTGTGGTGTAGCATGAGGAGCTAGTTGTGATACTATCCCATTTTCCTTTAAATAGTCCCTAAATTTGTCAGAGAGATATCCGCCTCCTCGATCTGATCGAAGGGCCTTAATGTGTTTCCCTAATTGTTTCTCAACCTCTTATCTAAACTCTTTGAACTTTTCAAAGGATTCAGACTTATGTCTCATTAGGTACATGTAACCATACCGAGAATGATCATTGGTAAATGTTATGAAATAAACATACTGGTTACGTATCCTAACATTCATGGGACCACATATATCGATATGTATAAGGTTAAGCGTACCTGTTGATCTTTCAGGCTTATCGTTAAATGGTCGTTTCGTCATCTTACCCTGAAGGCAAGGTTCACAGGTTAGAAGATCTTCTACAGTTAGAAAATCTAAAGGACCATCCTTTATCAACCTAGTGATATGATATATGTTAATGTGGCCAAGTCGGTAATGCCATAGGCACGTGGGATTAACTATATCATGGGTTCATTTCTTGGGGTTATTATCCGACGTAGTTTTAGTTATATTTGTTTCCAGAGAAGGATGGAGAACATAGAGACCATTCTCAAGTTCTCCATATGCAAGGAATTTGTTATTCCTTTTAATAGTAATCATATTACTAAAAAGAATAAAATAACCATCTACTCACAGTTTTGAAATAGAAATCAAATTTCTTCTCAAATTGGGTACATAAAGACAATCTTTTAATGTAATTATTCCTTCTCTGAAATGCAATTCTATAGTTCCTATGGTTGTAGTTGCAACACTTGCAGAAGTTCCCAAATAAAGAATCACTTCTCCATCACTCAGTCTTCTACTTGTCCTGAACCCCTGCAATGTATTACATGCATGAGTAGAAGCCTAGGAGTCAATACACCAGGAAGTAGAAGTGACCAACATATTGGTCTCTATGACAAAGGAT